GAATAAAATCGTCTTAAAATTACATTTTCTACCAGAATACATCATGAAATACAGGGTGTTCCATAAGAAAAATCAAAGTTGGCGGCCATATTGGAAAAATGGCAGCTAAAATAATTTTTTTGACTTGACCATAATGTTTTAAATAAAAAATCCAAGGCACTTACCATTTAACTTTTTTTATATCTCTTATGGTTTTCGAATAAAACGGCTGGCACACTTATATCAATCACCCTGTGTATGGATACCGTACAATGAACAAGTTTCTACTACTTAAAAGTCCACACTTTTGACAGCGAACCTATAACAAAGCTATTCGGTGCGAGGTCAGACGCACTTAGTACTCATTTGAACCTACAGTATTTGCAATTAACTTTGCACTTGTAAGGCCCGGTTCACACGAACGACATACCTAGCAGACTAGGCTTGGACTAGGTAAGCACGACTGGGTAGCGGACCACAGAATCACACCGGTTCACACGAGCGACATGTCTACGGACTAGGTGAAAATATAGATATCAAAACCACTCGGTTCCACCACTGGTGCACAATGAGAACAAAGGTAAGAATGCGAGCTGCAGCTCGACTACCCGATCGCTCGTGTGAACGCTCCCATAAGGCTACATGTACTGCTACGCAGTTCGACTGGGCGACTGGGTAGTTGCCACGACGGACTGGGAAGCGGGGCCCGACTAGGTTTTGGGACATCAAGCATGAACACGACTAGCTAGTCGGCGTCATAGGCTCGTGTGAACTGCTCCATTTGATCCTGTGGTCCGCTACCCAGTCGTGCTTACCTAGTGCTTACCTAGTCCAAGCCTAGTCTGCTAGGTTTGTCGTTCGTGTGAACCGGGCCTTAGTCTTTTAAACTTTAGAATTCACAACTGTATGCAGATTAACCGCAAAAGCTTCGTCTGGCATTAGTTTCGTAGCCTTAAGACACTTAACAGTAAATTACACTGCCAGTTTTAATAAGTTCACTGAGGGGAAATTAGTTGCGGTTGTATGCTACGTTGAATGGTCCAAGTAATCGCTGATGAACTGAGTTGTATAAATTGTGAGACAATGAAATAAACCTGTGACAAAGCTCTAATTGTCTTATAGTATCAGCGATTTAATTAATGGAAAGAAAATACTGTAATACCATAGACAAAAAGATGTAATACGCTTGAGTCCAAAATTGTACGTTTAATGGGAATATTTTAGTAAACCGACATAAGACAGAAATTCGGTACATAACAAGAAAAATACCCCCACCACAGCAAACCTACAGACTAAGCGAATTTCCATTTGCCTGACAGGATTTACACTAAAATGTCTCCATAAAAATATCACATTTATTCCCTATTTAAATAACAGTAGTTTAACGAGTACGTAGGTTTGCTGCAACAGGGAGGGTAAACAGGTATTTCTTTGTAAAATGTAATAGTTTGGTATGAAATGAATGCATTTTCCAAATTTGATCAAAATATGTTTATAAACAAGCAAACAACAACAGTTTACTTATTCTCCATAAGTATAACATGGAAATTTCAAAATTTACAGATTTTTGGAATTTTCTCCGTAACCATTAGGCGCATAACAACGCTTCAATACACTACATTATTTATTTTTATAAGTTCTACAAAATGGTTTAAAAAATAGTGTTAAATATTAAGTTTTTAGGGTCAAAATGGGAAAACCCAATTTTTACCCCATAAAACCCCCCATAAACCCCTGTTTCCATAGTCCGATCTTGCTGGTTCGTGAACTCGTTCGAATAAACATAGGTTTACACGTTTGTACCAAATTTTATCAAAATCGGACGATTTTTGCTCGAGTTATCGCGCTAATGGACACACACATATATATATATATATATAGGCCTATATATATGAATTTGAACGGATAGTGTTTTTGGTCTTCTAGGGACCTCAAAACGAAAAAGTAAATCGGTCCCGGGTCCAGGTCTTACCACGAGTACTACGGTAATAGCTTATTCCCTATAGGGGAAATTCGCTAAAAGCCTCAATCTCCAGTAAGAGAAGTCTCCACAAACCAATTTTTAAGTATGTAAGAAGAAAGCAACGGAAGAGGACGTGTCGATGACTCGAAGGAGAGGTGGTAGTGGTCTTGCTGAGGAATAAAATCACTAATGCAAACGTAGCGAAGGGAGGACAGCTAGACCTTTATTACAAAGGCTTTAAAATATAAAGGCCCAGAGTTTAAGTCAAACTATAATGTTCCACTAGAGTGAATTGACAAAACGTAACTGGACAATCGTCCACGACGAACTGGTTTCTCGGTCTATGGAGAATTTGAAAGAGTAGTCAGGGTTCTCAGTCGCTGCCTTGCCTACGGCTGTGTCCGCTCATCTGCCTGTTTGCCTTCCTCAGCGTATTATACTGCTGATATCTAAAGAATAGTATCTGTGTTGTGTCTTGGCGTTGCAGAGATGTCTGGGCTTGGTCTGGGCTCTCAGTCGTGGCTTTGTCTACTGCTGGGTCCGCTCATCTGCCTGTTGGCCTTCCTCAGCGTGTTACACTGCTGATATCTAGAGGATAGTAACTGTGTTGTGTCTTGGTGTTGCAGAGATGTCTGGGCTCTCAGTCGCGGCCTTGCCTACGGCTGTGTCCGCTCATCTGCCTGTTGGCATTCCTCAGCGTGTTACACTGCTGATATCTAGAGGATAGTAACTGTGTTGTGTCTTGGTGTTGCAGAGATGTCTGGGCTCTCAGTCGCGGCCTTGCCTACGGCTGTGTCCGCTCATCTGCCTGTTGGCATTCCTCAGCGTGTTACACTGCTGATATCTAGAGGATAGTAACTGTGTTGTGTCTTGGTGTTGCAGAGATGTCTGGGCTCTCAGTCGCGGCCTTGCCTACGGCTGTGTCCGCTCATCTGCCTGTTGGCATTCCTCAGCGTGTTACACTGCTGATATCTAGAGGATAGTAACTGTGTTGTGTCTTGGTGTTGCAGAGATGTCTGGGCTCTCAGTCGCGGCCTTGCCTACGGCTGTGTCCGCTCATCTGCCTGTTGGCATTCCTCAGCGTGTTACACTGCTGATATCTAGAGGATAGTAACTGTGTTGTGTCTTGGTGTTGCAGAGATGTCTGGGCTCTCAGCCGCGGCCTTGCCTACGGCTGTGTCCGCTCATCTGCCTGTTGGCATTCCTAAGCGTGTTACACTGCTGATATCTAGAGGATAGTAACTGTGTTGTGTCTTGGTGTTGCAGAGATGTCTGGGCTCTCAGTCGCGGCCTTGCCTACGGCTGTGTCCACTCATCTGCCTGTTGGCATTCCTAAGCGTGTTACACTGCTGATATCTAGAGGATAGTAACTGTGTTGTGTCTTGGTGTTGCAGAGATGTCTGGGCTCTCAGTCGCGGCCTTGCCTACGGCTGTGTCCGCTCATCTGCCTGTTGGCATTCCTAAGCGTGTTACACTGCTGATATCTAGAGGATAGTAACTGTGGTGTGTCTTGGTGTTGCAGAGATGTCTGGGCTCTCAGCCGCGGCCTTGCCTACGGCTGTGTCCGCTCATCTGCCTGTTGGCATTCTTCAGCGTGTTACACTGCTGATATCTAGAGGATAGTAACTGTGTTGTGTCTTGGTGTTGCAGAGATGTCTGGGCTCTCAGCCGCGGCCTTGCCTACGGCTGTGTCCGCTCATCTGCCTGTTGGCATTCCTCAGCGTGTTACACTGCTGATATCTAGAGGATAGTAACTGTGTTGTGTCTTGGTGTTGCAGAGATGTCTGGGCTCTCAGTCGCGGCCTTGCCTACGGCTGTGTCCGCTCATCTGCCTGTTGGCATTCCTCAGCGTGTTACACTGCTGATATCTAGAGGATAGTAACTGTGTTGTGTCTTGGTGTTGCAGAGATGTCTGGGCTCTCAGTCGCGGCCTTGCCTACGGCTGTGTCCGCTCATCTGCCTGTTGGCATTCCTCAGCGTGTTACACTGCTGATATCTAGAGGATAGTAACTGTGTTGTGTCTTGGTGTTGCAGAGATGTCTGGGCTCTCAGTCGCGGCCTTGCCTACGGCTGTGTCCGCTCATCTGCCTGTTGGCATTCCTCAGCGTGTTACACTGCTGATATCTAGAGGATAGTAACTGTGTTGTGTCTTGGTGTTGCAGAGATGTCTGGGCTCTCAGTCGCGGCCTTGCCTACGGCTGTGTCCGCTCATCTGCCTGTTGGCATTCCTCAGCGTGTTACACTGCTGATATCTAGAGGATAGTAACTGTGTTGTGTCTTGGTGTTGCAGGGATGTCTGGGCTCTCAGTCGCGGCCTTGCCTACGGCTGTGTCCGCTCATCTGCCTGTTGGCATTCCTCAGCGTGTTACACTGCTGATATCTAGAGGATAGTAACTGTGTTGTGTCTTGGTGTTGCAGAGATGTCTGGGCTCTCAGCCGCGGCCTTGCCTACGGCTGTGTCCGCATATCTGCCTGTTGGCATTCCTAAGCGTGTTACACTGCTGATATCTAGAGGATAGTAACTGTGTTGTGTCTTGGTGTTGCAGAGATGTCTGGGCTCTCAGTCGCGGCCTTGCCTACGGCTGTGTCCGCTCATCTGCCTGTTGGCATTCCTCAGCGTGTTACACTGCTGATATCTAGAGGATAGTAACTGTGTTGTGTCTTGGTGTTGCAGAGATGTCTGGGCTCTCAGTCGCGGCCTTGCCTACGGCTGTGTCCGCTCATCTGCCTGTTGGCATTCCTCAGCGTGTTACACTGCTGATATCTAGAGGATAGTAACTGTGTTGTGTCTTGGTGTTGCAGAGATGTCTGGGCTCTCAGTCGCGGCCTTGCCTACGGCTGTGTCCGCTCATCTGCCTGTTGGCATTCCTCAGCGTGTTACACTGCTGATATCTAGAGGATAGTAACTGTGTTGTGTCTTGGTGTTGCAGAGATGTCTGGGCTCTCAGCCGCGGCCTTGCCTACGGCTGTGTCCGCATATCTGCCTGTTGGCATTCCTAAGCGTGTTACACTGCTGATATCTAGAGGATAGTAACTGTGTTGTGTCTTGGTGTTGCAGAGATGTCTGGGTTCGGTCTGGGCTCTCAGTCGCGGCCTTGCCTACGGCTGGGTCTGCTGATCTGTCTTTTGGCCTTCCTCAGCGTCTTCTACTTTCTGAGTGACGTCTCATCTGCAGGATACCTTGAGTTTGTGCGACGCTCCGCTGAGTTTGATGCTGACTTCTACCTTAATTCCGGCCCAGCTACCTGTAAGTTGAGATCTTTTGTTGAAGAATTTATCCTTTACTTTGTTTAACTGATTGTTAGTATTTTTGTTAGTACTGTTTCATCTATATATTAATACGCAAGCAGTTTTCTTTTCACAGTCATAGCTCGATAACCGCTTGATGGATTTTAACGTTTGAGGTATCAAATTAAAGGTATTTTCATGTAGATGTGCAAATACGTCTCAGAATATTAAGAAAGGACATACCTTAAGTACAGTTAAGGGCTAAAGTTTGGAAGGTGGTGCCAACTGTTGACATTTGATTAAACTCATTTCCCTTTGTTTACAAATAACATATGGACGTAGTTTGAAATAGTTTTTAAGGTTAACCACAGACTGCAGGACTTAAAAATTCCAGAGCAAAGCTGGAATTTATATTTTGTTTCAATCTGTTTACTAAGTCTGGTTAATAATGAAGAGACTAGACAACAGAGTGTTTAAGAATAAATATTTAAACTAGTTAGCCGCCCGTGCTCCGCCACGGGAATATTGTCAAATCAAATAAAATAAAATCAAAATCATGTTTATTTCAGTAAGTAAATACATTGTTACAATACTTTGCCAGTAAAAATTTCATAGTTATGCAATGATATAAATAAATAAAATAATATACTAACATAGTCATTAAATATAAAAAGCCTCTCACATAGGCTACTACCCGTGCGTGAGAGATTTCCGCTATCAGGAAATAATAATATTAGAAATTTAAAAAAAAATAGATAAAATAAAAGACATAATTAACAAATACTGTTTATCTTTGTATTTTATTTAGGGACTGTTTTTTTTATACGAAGTAGAACGGATAGTTGGGCCTGTATAAACTATTTATGTTAATAAAACCAATGACAATTTAATTGGAAACGTTGTTGGAGAACCAGAGGGCGGAAATCTTTACCCAGACCAGAAGCAGGCCAAGCCAGCTTTGATTACTTATTTTTAACTACTAAACAGATGAACTATAGCTAACCTTACAAACTAAACTGCTAATTAGTGTAAAATGGAAATGATGATAAAACAGGTAAATTTCGTTCCCTAACTAGTTACTGAACCAATTTGGACTCATAAGGCGATTCCTGAATGAATTAATTACTTGAACCTTCACGTGGTGACTATTGCATGTCTAGGAATGATTACCTCGTTAAGCGAGGTAATCATATAATTTGGAATTTACATTTCTGCGAATGGGGCGAAAGCCTGCCGGCTTCCCCTTAAATAATTAAACTAGCCTGTCATCTTAATCCTAACACAACTTAATAATTAACGACTTATCCTGATTTTTGAAGGACATAGAGACATGACAAGGGGGCGATCGGCAGGTTTTCCAACGGTAGGCGGCAAGAGACAAGACGGAGGAAAACTCGATTTCGTAGCTCCTTGACGTTTCTCGAAAAAAGGCAAGCGGCAGACCGAAGGAGGCGCGCCGATCGCAAGGCCAGTGATTTAGTTGTGTGGCACTATATAAAATAGTGGCGCTAAGCGTCACAACCACCCCCCCCTCGCGATTTTTTTTTTTTTTTTTTTTTTTGTTAGGGAAGGAAAGTGGAGGTGTGTAGTGTGTCACACCTATAAAATAAAATGTTTGTATGTTTCACACATATTAGCAATTTCCTACACAACCTGCAAGCGGATTTCACTATGATTGTTCTGGTGGCCGTAGGGAATAAATTATATTGATCGGAATAAACAGTTTTCGTCCCCTACTATGGGTATTATTTCACTTTCCATACTCAAACCTAAAATAAATTAGCACTTTCCTTCAAATCAGTTCGCAGGAAAACTAATACAGTATACGAAAATACAAAATTTACACCAAAAAATAGGCTACAAATATTGTTTAAATAACACATTTTGGTATAATAAGTTAACAAATACACTTTTCCTTGATCGACATCGTGTCTGTTTTTAACAGGAACTTCTAGATTAATAATTACATACCGAAAGTGAGGTTATAAAAATAATAACAAATGTCTGACAAACATTAAACAGCTGACAAATCATTTATAAACTGTGTAATATAATCTTCAATTTATTACACTGTATTATTACACTGAATTGTATTGACTCGACCTTTGAAGGGCTGTAGTGCTTAGCCCTTAGAAAAAACGTAAGGCAAATCTATGCATTACATCCTTTAATTTGAGACATGCATCTTGTAGATCGGTCCAGTAATAACCGAGAAAACTGTGTTACAACTGTGTATCTCTATATACAGGGTGAATTTTAAATGAGTTCCCCCCCTACTTTTTTCTACATTTCTTAAGATATCAACTTCGGACCATGTCAGATCATTGTAGTCTGGTACTACAATTGTGTGTTTTGGTAGTCTGAAATGATGGGTCACAACACCACCTTCATATTTAAATTAATTTATCACATCTCAAAATGGCAGATCCAAGATGGCGGCCGAAAAAAATTAATCCGTCATAACCAAGTAATAATAGGTCGACAATGAATGGTGGTGTATACTTATCTTTATCTAGCACTATTTTGAGATTATGGTCTTAGTTTGTAAATGCACAATGTTAAAATGGGCTAAAAATAAAGTTATAAAAAGTCCTCATAACTTTAGAACGGATCAAGATTTTTTAAAACTAATTGCGGCAGTGTAATCAGCGTAAAATTCTAGTTTGAAACAATGGGTCACAACCCTACCTTTACATTTGAAAAAAAAATTTGTATCCGATATGGCGGATCCAAGATGGCGGCCAAAAATGTTTATCCAGTCAAAATGAAGTACTTACTACACTACAATGATCTGACGTGGTCCGAAGTTGATATCTTAAGAAATGTAGAAAAAGTAGGGGGGGAACTCATTTAAAATTCACCCTGTATAAAAGGCAAAGCCCTCACTGACTGACTGACTCACTCACTCATCACTATTTCTCCCACTTCCCACTTACCTAGGAGGCTGAAATTTGGTACACTGATTCTTTAGGCATTAAATAGGAAAACTAAGTGGTTTTTATTCTGATCGGACTCTCGGGCTCCGCCCCAGTGGCTCTGGAGTTCCCCATGTTAACCTAATGAGTACTCATATTTAATTGGAATTAATGAATCTTAACAGCTGTTTCAATTAAACAAGTTGGTTCTGTTCTATAATGTTCAATAGCATTAAAGGACATAACATTACAAGGATTACCAACAGAGTTCAGCACTATTATTTTTTTTTATATTTTACAACAGCTAGAGTTCAGCACTATTTTTTTTTATTTTACAACAGCTAATTTTAAACCAAAAGTGAGTGAGCGTAGCGAACGAACTTCAACCTGGAGGCGAGTTAGCGTAGCGAACGAGCTAACCTGAAGGCAAGTGAGCGCAGCGAACGAGCTCCAACCGTAAAGGTGAGTGAGCGTAGCGAACGAACTTCAGCCAGGACGTGATTGAGCCATGCGAACGAGCTCACATATGAAGTTAAACGGGGCAAAGCCCGCGGGTACAGCTAGTTAAATATATAGATAAAGAATAAATTTTTAGTTTTTAAGTTTGACCAACGACTGCAGGACTTATTTATTCCAGAGCAAAGCCGGAGTTCTATGGTTTTATCTAAACATCTGTTAACTATATCTGTTTCTTAAATAAAGAGTTTCCTATCAAGACTTGACAACAAATTGTTTGTAAATAGTTGAATGTATTTACCTTACATCATATTTTACTGAATTATCGTGTTGTTTTGGTTACAGTTTGGTGTGATTAAATTAATGTTTGAAAGTGATTATTTCCAGTGCAGTTACATCACAATATCATGTAATTTACAATGTGTATAACAATTCCGTTGTAGTGTTTTCTGTTGTTTTGTTAACTTTCGTAATTCATCTAAATTTAAAATAATATGCTACCAGTAAGACGAAGACTGTGAGTGGCTGAAGGAAACGCGAACGTGGCCGCTTGCATCAATCTCCCAATGTATCATTTGAAGATTACAGAGTGGCAACCATCGTGTGGGATACGTCTAACCTTGACAAATGAACTATAAATGTTTACATTGTGGTGGCTTACATTTTAAGCAAAAAAAGTCTGGCCGATACAGTTCAATTGTTACTCTTTGTTGCCATAAATGAGAGAACCATTTATTTACCTCATCTGCGGAATTCACCATACTTTCAGGAAGTTATTGGAAACTCCCAATCTGAAATCAGGGCTGTGAGGCTTGGATCTAGAAATTATTAGGATAAAATTTGTCAATTCAATTCCGCCTTTGCCATGGTCAGCTCTGAAGCTCATTTAGATGAGAGGATCATACCTAGGGGATCTACAATTTCAAGATCCATGACACTTGAAAGGAAAGATTCAATGATAAAATATGTGGGAAATAGGGTCACATTGCCAACCCATTTGCCCAATCTTTTCAAACTGTGGCAGAAATGTGTAGGGACGAGAGTTCCGAGGAGTTAAGGGAGATTCTTATGTACATAATAAGAGACAAAATAATTGGCTTTCCTCGCTACAATGATGCGACCTGTATAAATGTTGCCACTATTTTTAAAGCTGAAAACAGAGGACCACCAGACAAAAGTCATCAGTCATAGACTTTAGAATTACTCTTTGATTGAGGTCTTGCTGTTTATGTTTTTAGTTGTTTATTTTTGTTATTACAAGTTGCAGTTTTATCTAGTTAACAGGTTATCTAGTTAAAAATTAAACCAAATCTGTGACAAAATGTAAACAAATCTGTGGAGGGTTCTTTTAAAGGCTTCTGGGGCAGAGCCTTAAGGGAATTTACCTTGTTTTTCTTTTGACAACTCATCTACAGACCAAGACCTTTCTTTGGACAACCCTACCAAGTTTCTACACTCAGTCGTTCTCTTAAATTAGTGGAGACAAAGTTTCCAATTAAATATTTAGATTCCCCCATGTTAATCTTATGGGAGAAAACCCAACTTTGATGAATGATCCAGCCCAAACTAATAAATATTTAAAAAAAATAAAAACACTTTGCAAAACTACAGATCAGGGCCATTCTTTTGACACTTTAATCATCAAAAT